TACAATATATCTCAATTCAGACTAGCCACAAACACCTCTAAACAGTCTACTTTAAGTCAAATCCAGTGTCTGCTCAAGACAGGGTTTCGGGTGGGTGGTGACAGTAAGTCCTGGAAGGGGAAGGAAACACGCTTTGTTTCCTGGGTCCTGTGGCTCAGCAGCTTTCTACACCCTTGATTCTCAAACTTCCTGATGTGCATCAGAATCACATGGAGACTTTGATCATTAGATCTGGGATAAGACCCAAGAAAGTGCTGCTTTTTTTTTTTTTTCTCTCTCTCTTTTTTTTTTTTTTTTCCCCAGATGGAATCTCACTCTGTTGCCAGGCTGGAGTGTAGTGGTGCGATCTTAGCTCACTGCAACCTCCGCTTCCCAGGTTCAAGCAATTCTCCTGCCTCAGCCTCCTGAGTGGCTGGGACTACAGGCCCCTGCTACCACGCCCAGCTGATTTTTGTATTTTTAGTAGAGATGGGTTTCTCCATGTTGGTCAGGCTAGTCTCGAACTCCTGACCTCAGGTGATCCACCTGCCTCGGCCTCCCAAAGTTCTAGGATTACAGGTGTGACCTCTCTCTCCCTCTTTATTTTATTTTATTTGGGACAGAGTCACGCTCTGTTGTCAGGCGCCGGGCTGGAGTACAGTGGCGTGATCTCAGCTCACTGCAACTTCTGCCTCCTGAGTTCAAGCAATTCTTCTGCCTCAGCCTCCCGAGTAGCTGAGACCACAGGCACACGCCACCATGCCCAGCTAATTTTTGTATTTTTTAGTAGAGATGGGGTTTCACCATGGTCTCGATCTCTTGACCTTGTGATCTGCCCACCTCGGCCTCTCAAAGTGCTGGGATAACATTTTTTTTATTAAGACTTTGTCCGCGCTAGTATATACAATGGAGTGTTGGGGGGGCGGGGAAGAAGACTTTGTCTTGCTGTATTGCCCAGGCTGGTCTCCAACTTCTAGACTCAAGCAGTCCTCCCACCTCAGCCTCCCAAAGTGCTGGGATTACAAGCATGAGCCACTGCACCTGGCCCCTGAAGGCGCATGTCTAGCAGTTCCCCAAGCATCTCGGATACTGCTGGTCCTGCCACTACTGTGAGAACTGCTGTTTTACACTTCCTTCATGGTTCTCACTCAGCTGCACATTGGAATCACCTGGGAGCTTCAAAAAATACTGATGTCAAGCCCTTCCCCCATCTGACTGACTTCACATACAGAGGCCTCCAGTTGAGTTTAACATTCAGGAAAGTTACAGAGTCCCCCATCTATACTTTGTGTGTGTGTGTGTGTGTGTGTGTGTGTTTTATTTTGTTTTTTGAGATGGAGTTTCGCTCTTGTTGCTCAGGCTGGAGTGCAGCGGCTTGATCTCCACTCATTGCAACCTCCACCTCCCAGGTTCAAGCGATTCTCCTGGCTCAGCCTCTCGAGTAGCTGGGATTACAGGCAAGCACCACCACGCCCAGCTAATTTTGTAATTTTTTTAGTACACACAGGGTTTCTCCATCTTGGTCAGGTTTGTCTGCAACTCTCAGCCTCAGGTGATCAGCCCACCTCAGCATCCCAAAGTGCTGGGATTACAGGTGTGAGCCACCGAATCCAGCCCCTGTCTATACTTAGTAGTCCTGTCCACTCTTTTTTTAGATGGATGATTCTCCTGCCTCAGCCTCTTGAGTAGCTGGGACTACAGGAGCGCACCACCAAGCCTAATTTTTCTATTTTTTTTTTTTTTT